GTCCTCCTCTCTCTCTCTCTCTCTCTCTCTCTCACATGCCCACAAAGACAAACACATGCACACACACACATGCACGCATACACATAATTTTGGGAGCTATACTCTACTTCCAAGGGGACTCCATTTAGTCATCTGCATTATTCCAACCCACTAGTAAGTTTATTTATTTAAACTAATATTTGATTTAACTGCTTGCGTTTCGAAAAGTTTTTTATTTTTTTAGAGGATTTTCAAATAACAAATTTCTTCTTTTTTTCCCCCCCAAATCATTGTAATGGTCTTTTGCTTTAATATTGTACTTGCCTACTTGGTGGATTCTATACATTTTTTTTTATATATTACTTTTTCAAGCTTTTTTCCTTTTTTCCATTTTTATAATTTATACATATTTTTCCTACTTTCTCAATATTTATTTTTTTATTTTTCAGGTTTTTTAACCTTTTTCTCTTTTACCATTTTATTATTATTTTCCTGAATTTTTTAAACTTCTTAAATTTTGACTGGTCTGACCAGTGAAACAGTCCAGTTCAACCAGTCAACCAACCGGTGCCTTCAACAATTTGATATTCCACTCGTCCTGGTGACATTGGCAATTATATGTCAAATGTTCATCCTTATTTTAGTCCTCAAAGAGTCTTATTGTGTTATCGAAACCGAAAAGCAGCAATTCCACATTAACTTCCTTGTTGAAACTTAATCTATGAATCAATACTTTCATAGATAGCATCCTAAGCTTCTCAAGGTTCTTTCTCCGACTAAAAAATAAATAAGTGGCATATGTATTTGAAATCAAGAATACTTACATGTCCAAACTATCCTACGAAAGGATTACCACCAAGGGAGAACCATTTATGACTAGATCTTCCATTTTGTATGTCTCAGATCATAAACTTTAAAAAAAATAAAAAGAAAAATAGGAGGCATACCAATTCATGACAAAGTTACTTTGCATGCTCAAAAAAATAAATTAAAATAAGGGAAAATTCATATAGAACCCTAATTCCTCATATTGTTTCATGGTAGACCCTCCTTCCGTTTTTCTTTCAAGCAGCATAAGGAAACCCTTAAAGATTTCACCATACCCCTCATCTCTTATTGACTTTGATCATAAAAATTAACCCCAATAAATATTTTTATACCATTTCAACCCAAAAACATTTTTAATGGGTGGAAAGGGAAAAAGAGGGTTAAAAAAGTTTTTGGGTTGAAACGGTATAAAAAGATTTGTTGGGGCTAATTTTTACAGTCAAAAGTCAATTAAAGAGGGAGATAAGAGATAAAGGGGTGTGATGAAATCTTTAGGGGCTTCTTTGTGCCGCTTGAAAGAAAACAGAAGGAGGGTCTACCATGAAATAATATGAAGAATTAGGGTTCTATACGAAATTTTTTCTCAAAATAAGGGCAATTAATATAAACATACTATTTTTGGAATTAAAAAATAATCCCAATATTTTTATATTGAAGGCCAAGGTCTCTTTTTGTTTATTTTTACCCAAAATAACCCTAGACCACATCCAAAAAAAAATTTCGGAAGCTCGAAGTACTGGACGTACTTCTCTATAATAATGTCAGTGGAGTGCCTGACCTACAACTGGTAAGTTTTTTATCAGAAATCGGTCCAGGACTCTTCTCATCTCACTCTCTCTCACTCCAAGTCGGTCCAATCCAAGAGCTGGACTGACTTATGGCATAATAATGTCGGTGGAGTGCCTAACCTACCACTGGCAAGTTTTTTGCCAGAGATCGGTCCAAGACTCTTCTCATCTCTATCTCTATCTCTCTCTCCAAGTCGGTCCAATCCAAAAGCTGGACTGACTTCTGGCATAATACTTGCTAGAGGTAAGTCCGATATTTGGAGTGCCAGACCAACATTATCATAGAGACACTGGCCTGGTACTTCAAGTGTTACACAGACTTCTCAAAAAAAAGACAAGGTCGGACGCCGTCTGGACTACAAGTCCCAGACAGGGCCCTGGGTTAAATTTTTTTTTGGGGGGGGGTGGGGGGGATTTTGGGAAGAAATAAAAATTCACACGAAAGAGACCTGGTGTAAGATATGAAAATATAGTGATACTTTCTTAATCAGGAACAGGAAAAATCATATTTTCACTTTAATTACCAATATAAGAAGATGAAAACACAGATCACAATTATAATAGCATCAAAGTTCATGACCATAAAAAACCAAGTCATCAGAAGACCAACAAATCAAGCATAGTGATAATCCTTCTAAAGCGAGCATAGAAAAAGTGTTTAAAACATAAAATCAGATGGGAGACATACCTTTTCTCTGAGAATGGGCTCTAGGTATTGGGTTACATAGGATTTGTTTTAAATAGTCACTAAGAAAAGCGTCCAACTTGACCAACCAGAGTGCAAGCGCAGATGTTGTCTGCGGTATATTCGGAAAGAATACAACAATTTCATCAATAACTGTGTTTGCACCTAAGACTGGCTTCGATTGGCAGAGCCAATCCTCATTGATGGCACCCACAAAATCAGTGAGAACCTGCATTAGATGATGAAAAAATTTGGAGTAAATCACAATTCACCCAACCAATTCATTAGAACAGACATGTCGTGCAAACAAATGGAGTAACATAAGACCTGCAAAAGTTCTGGCATAGATGATGCACGCCTAAGACGGCTCACCCAAAGCTTGTGGGCAGATTCAGTCCACGAAGCCACAAAAGTTTCTTCAGTCATGACAGCCTGCAGGGAGTCAAACAATAATTATTTTGAATTTCACATTTAACACAACAGTATCACGGTCCCATCTCGACTATCATGACAACAATGAGGATGATGTAAAGTAGTATTATTTCACACAGAAGTATCCAATAACCTCTGCACTAGAAGGCCCCCCAAGTTCAGTACTAATGCTAGGAATTATTTTACGTCTTCAACTGCCAGCCGAAAATGAAGGGAGTACATCAAGTCATTCAACCCTGTAGAATTGACCAAAAGGATGGGTGTGACACATTTGGCACCACCCAAAATCATAGGGTATTAACAGTGATTTTACCCTGTGAATCTAAATGATATGATTCTAAAAGATCTCCGCGATTTCGTTCATTTCAATTTTTTTTTATCCCATTATACTGCCCTGAGATTTGGTGCCAATTCATTGCCACTCATCCACTTGGTTATTTTCCAGCATCAGTTAGATTTCCACTATGTACCACTAGAAAGGCCAGTTGACACATTAAGTACAGAAAATTGAGGTAGAAGTAATAGCATATCATTTATGTAAGCCAAGTAGATGATTCACCTCGATTGCATGGATTGCTGCTTTGAGAGATTGCAGCCTTGAAGAAAGAACTCTATGTCCTGAAAAAGCATCATCATTATCTGTTTTCTTGCACTTTGCAACATGGATAGTATACTTTGCCTCAAGGTCAAAGTCCAGCTCAAAAGTGGAATGGCAAATGGCACAATGCCTCTCATCTCTCCAATATAAGTCATGACAACTTCTGCAGTGAATAAGCTGCTCCCCAGCAGACCTTGCTTTGTATTTTGGGGCATTCAGATTTTCATAGAAGTCATTCCAAATCCAAGCATCCAAAGCTTGCAGCCGACCCCATTTGTGTTTCTTCTCTTTGTCACTCTTTCCTAGTTCAATTTGTATGGCCCCTGATGAGGCAAAGGAATCCTCTCGACATTCAGTGGAAAGCTGGGAATTGTTGTCTATGTCTGAAACAGGGGAAGTACCATCTCCGCTGAAATTTCCCAGTTCAAGTACATTGTGTCTTATTGATTCACTTGCTGCACTATCCGCCATAGTCTGAAATAGAAAAGACTCTCGTTTCTCCAAAGATGAAAGAAGATGAGCCTCACGGGTACCCCTACCGTCGAGACTTGTCAACAAAGCATGCAATGCCTGCAAGGTCCAGAAACAAATGCAGATATGATTAGAAACACCAATGAGGAGTATAGGACTGCATTTTCTAAAGAATTTGGACCTGGACATGCAAAAGGACTTTCCAGACAGGTAAAATTTTAGAAATGGGGATTTCAAAACATTCACATGTTCATGCATGTAGCATTAAACCCCCCACCGGGAAAAAGTTCTGCCATTTTTCTGTTTAACGTACCTTCCTAAATTTGATTTATCAAACACCACAACCCAACTTTTTTGGTCCCGCCATACCATTTTTTAGCTGCTTGAGTGAATACCCACTAATCTTTCTACGTTTTTTTTAGTAGATTTCACCAAAAAAAAAAAGCGAAGAGCCTTACATCCAGAATGTAAAAATTAGTGGAACACAACACAAGCATGTTCAAACACAAAGTGAAGACTGAGGTACTGTATTTATTCGTTCTTTTGAACAGTGTCGTTACGTAATAAATCCTATAGATATGTGGATACATCATGTGAAAGACCGCGATGCATAGTAAGTATCCTGCCAAATCTACACTGTGAGTATGCATATTCTTCTCTTGTCCTGCAAAACAGCTACTTTTATTGAATATAAATATCTAATGAGTGGTCCTAAATCCATAAGTCATGGTATGTCTTCTCCACCTCCATCAAGAGCAAAGCATATTCTCCTCGTCCTGTCAAAACAGCTACTTTTATTGAATATAAATATCTAATAAGTGGTCATGATATGTCTTCTCCACCTCCATCAAAAGCAAAGCATATTCTTTTCTTGTCCTGTCAAAACAGCTACTTTTATTGAATATAAGAGTATCTAATAAGTGGTCCTAAATCCATAAGTCATGGTATGTCTTCTCCACCTCCATCAAGAGTAAAGTAATTGGAACTTGGAGAAAGAATCTCTACATCTATGATCTTGAATAGTAATTATAACTAACATTACATGAGTACCTTTTCTGAATCAATCACTTCCCAGTGCCCATCTTCAGATGATTCAAAATAGATCCTCCTATGGCCAGGGTCATCAGCATTACAAGGGCCCAAGAAAAGCCAATAGCTATTGTATCTGCGATCAGATCCCAGAAAGATAGACTGCATTGGATGAGAGCCAGAACCCAAATTCTTTGCCTTTATAGGTTTTGTTGTGGGACCATCAATTCCAGGAAAGTTACTTTTGTTGATAGCAGATGGCTCACTCCTGGAAGTGTTTGAGGCTTGTGATTTATTTGCAAAGAAATCATGCTCAGGAAGACTTTGAAGTGGTACAGGCATCTTATTGTAACTCGCTGATGATCTCTTTATTTTAGCACCAGATCCATGATGCCGAGTCTCAGGAACCATTTCTAATCTGGCTCTTGCTGGATCCTACAACAAATCATAGAATTGGTCATTGCCATATGAAATAATTTTAAAACTAATAATATAAAGACACAAGTTTTCATACTTAATATAAAACCAATAATAAGGAACATTCACTAATGCAACCTGCAAAGACCAATATTTCTCATTTCGTATTTACCAACAAATAGCAATAATCTATTACAAGGCAATTAGTAAAGATGTTGTGAAGCCAACCACACACACTGGCCTTGGAAAATCAAAGAAAAAATGGAATATCGAAGGATCAAAGATACTCAGGGATTCTACCACACACATGTCAGATAGCACAAAACATCAGATAAATGACCACAAGGTTTAAACCCAATGAACATGTTCTAAAATTGAATGACAAATTGCATAAACATGAAAAAGAAAAGTCAATAACTCGGGCGATTTTGGCCTATGTAAGAGAAACTGCAGAGAGAAATTGAACAGATCCATGGCCCACTTGGACACTCAGATTTTAGAAACATCGCCAGCTTGGGTGCCACTAATCAAAGGGGAGACTATTTTTAGTAACCCTGCTTATCTACAAAGTGCAGCAAAAAATGCCTGTAGACCCGTTTTTCCTCTATGCTAGAAAAATAAATCCGGTTTTTCAGGATTGCCCATGAAGGTAAGCAGGGTTAATTCTTGGATATGACTATTCAGTATAAAACATCCAAATTGACCCCTAGGCTACAACTGATGGAAACCAAGTGGAGGGCGAACATTTTTAAAAAAAATCAAAGTAATGACAAACAAGCTAGCTGGAAACCCACAATAAAGAATAGTGCTAATGACTCCATCATGATCTCTCAAAGAATGTTCTCCATGGAAGTCCTAAGAAACTTAGAAGTCATGTAATGAACAATAATTTATATCACAAAATATTGCATAGAATTCATAAAATGTGGGCTATCCCTCAGCATGAATTGGAACCACATTAATCGCACAGAATGAACCCCTCAATTCTAAGTCATATAAAGTAGAAATTTAAGACAAACTGATCAAACAACAACTTTTTTACCTTAACTGATCAGTTATGTCATAAGCTGGAAAGGTGCAACCAACTAAAAGAATAAAAAACAGTAATCTATAAATCATTAAAACAAGGAAAGTTGAGAGGAAAATAAGACGACAGCACTCATTATCCAATTTCTGATCCTTAGCAGATTTTTCTACTCTATGAGAATTTAAAGAATAGGCAATAACATTCTAATAAACATTCATAAATCGTACAACATAAACGAATTGGTAGACAAATCACAAAACACAAAGATACTAATGCTTATTAATTTGCACGAGCATCTAAATAATGTTCAAGAGAAAACAGCTTGTGGAGACAAATTTCAAGAACCATTTAAAACAGAGTCAAACATATTAAAATGAAAATTAAGGAAAGTTCCAAAAGTACCTCCTTTTGTATACCAGGTCCAGCATCCATAAGATCAACCAGGGCCACCAGAGCATTAAGTTTCTCTTCAATGCTTAGGTTTGAATATTCCCCTTCCATCAAACCCAACACCCATGCTTCACCTACATGACTCTCATCAATCTCGGTGCCTTCCGTTATGCTTTTGCACAACTTCTTGTTAAAACCAACACGCCTACGTTTGCTCCCCTCATACATTTCTGAATCTGACTCCTCAGAAGCATCAGATTCTTCACTATCATCTGTTTCTTCATCCACAGAATCATTATCCACACTTCCTGAGTCTTCACTATCGGAATCAAACTGCATAGATCCTTTTAAACTTCCAGGATTTCCCCGAAGGCGGTATGCTGTAGGTGAGATCTTCTCAAACAATGTAATGTCACTCGAAAGAGTAGAACTTACTAGAGGTTCCAGTCCATCAATTGTCATAGGCTGATTTAAACTTGACACCTGTAAAAATGGAAACAATTTCCAAGTTTGTCACAATCACTATCCTTAATCTATTTTTGTATAACAAATAAACTCATTTAACAAATATTGACAAGAATACATCAGAAAGGAAGACAATCCACTATGGTGATGGTGGCACAGAATCCCATAAATCTAGACTTTGCATTGTTAAACTTATGTATATAAACTATCTGCCACTGCATTGGCTTCCCCAAGTGAATAAGGAGCCTTGATTCCAGAAAAGTAAAATAGCATAGCTCATGCAAAGTAACAGCTAGCCTCCTAGGATCAGACCTTCTTTCTTGACCTTTGAGTAACATCCACAAGAGGCGGCACTTAAAACTAATTTTGTTTTTTATGATAATGGGAAAGTAATATTTACAAACAAAGAGACTAGCAACCAGGGCCAAACTTTGAACCACAACCTTCCATTTGGGGCAAAGTTCCACACAGTTGAGCCATGGTTTCCAGTGGGTTACACTGTTATCACGCACATTATTAACAGTAAAAGCTGTCAAAAAACCAAATGGAAATATCCATTTGAAACTCAATGCAAATTACCTACCTGAAAAGCTTTCACTAAATCAGATATTTTCAACCCATTACTTCCTCGTTCAGATAATAATCTGTATAATTCACCTTTCAAAGATCCTGGAGAGATTCCATGTCTCAACATTTTACTGTTATCCTACAAAGCAAAACATACAAGACAAACATAATCCGGAGTTAGCCACATGAACTCCATAAGCTCAACATTAACAGAATCATAAATTTATATTGTCGGGAGAGTAATGCCCAATGAATCCAAAGAAAGAAACCAGACACATACTCCTGACGCTAGACAAGTTACTGCAATAAGATTTTTGTATAAATAATAGCAATAGTAACTTACTTAATGATTTTTTCTTACATGTTAATGTCCAGCTTCTCTATAATCAATGTTTCACTACAAAGTAGATGAGAAAGTCTACATCAAGTTGTCAGATGATGCAATGCAATATAGACACATAGAAGCGTCAAGGACGTGGGGCGTACAGAGAAAGCAAGAAAATCAGTTTCAAGTACATAACAGGACCTTAGAAGTGTAAGAATCAATATGAATTAATAATTTGAACAGCTCACTAACAATCAAATATTCTATTTAGGAATCGCCAGTTCTACCTTGTCCATAATTCCTTTTCGAGGCAGTGATGAATGCCGCTTTCTACCAAATCCAGCTGCAAGCATAATCTGGCGGAGTATCTCAGTCCACGTAAGAGGATTTAGAAATCTATTCCACAATTTAGGATCAAAACCTTGCTGCTTTATCTGTTAAGCCATATATATGCATATCAGAACTACAAGTATGCAAGAATGTGGACAATAAGAAGCTCTGAAGGCATGATTTGAAAGTGAATGTAAGGAAAAGTTTCATCTTGTTACCTACAGTCAACAAATTCACTATTTAGAATTATTAGGTCAATAAACTTAAAGGTACATTTGTCTGTTCAGATTTATGGTGACTTCATGTAAATAATCTAGGATTGGCCCAAATCACAACACAGATTTATTCCCATAGTCCTGTGTAACTAAGCAAGAATACACTGTTTAAGAAATAGAATGTTTAAGAAGATCGAAAATTCAATGCTTTGGGCACCAGATATAATAAGAAAATATTGCCGACTACATGATATTACAACATACAGATTGAAGAAATCCAAGAAAACGGCAATCCATATGAGCGCGACTCCATATAAAAGACCCCGCACTGAGCTCCCTTCCAATCTCCACTAGAAGATATTTGATAAGAGCCATATGAATTGTTCCAAGCAACAAGGAATCCTGAAAACATGTATAGAACAAAAATATGATGTAACACAAGACAGTGAACCCATTAAAGAGGCAAATAACTGGCAATTTTAATATCATATAGAAAAAGCATTCATGGCTTATGTACTTATCCCTAATAAGGTCAAAGACTAAAAATTGCCCATATACAAATAGAACAGAAAGGGCCAGATATCCTCTTATGTTATAACATAAAATACCAAACAGCCTGTGCATTTATAATATTAACAAAATGCACCTATGTCTAGGTCAAAGCCATAATCGGAAAGGAACTTAAGGGACAGGCGAAAGGCGCTACCTTGGTAACCTACACGGCACCTTGACCACCTACGCAGGTACCTAGAGGTACCCCAGCCCTAGACACCCCATGAAGCCAAGGTGAGGCATCTAGGGCCATGGCCTGCCTCAAGGAGCCGCCTAGGCACCAAGGTGCACCACCCTTTAATACATTGATTCTTTTTCCAATCAATATGATCACTTGCACTCTACGGCATGGAGTTCAATCCAACGAGGCCAGCACCTGAACATTTGGTTCTGATCACCTCCTGAAGCCATCAATCTGAATTTTGATGGCAGTTCCAGGGGCACCCAGGGAACACCAGGCAGGGGAGGTACTTTTAAAGATGAAAATGGTCTGGTTTTATTCTCATTCTCCGGCGCCATAGGCACCACTGATGTCACTGAAGCAGAGACGCAAGCCCTGTAAAGTGACTCTGCTAATGTGATTCTGTGGGTGGTGGTTGAAATTCGCTGCCCATGGCGTCTTGACAGCATATTTCAAGAAACTTTGGATATCATTTCAGGTTTAACAGTAACTTCTACTCTCATTTGGCATGAATCGAAGAAATTTGAAGACAATCTGGAAAAAGAAGGGAACGAAAAATATTCACTCAAAATTCTGACAGATGAGCAATAGAGGTTTCTGTAAACGATTAATTTTGGCCATTCTTTGTGCAGTTTCTATTTACACCGTCAATTTTTGTAAAGATTGTACAGCCTTATGGGGCATCCATATACAAGTTCATAGTCTTCTATGTCCACATATTTAGGGGTGCCAATGGACCCGGACCCGACCCATACCCGCCGGTTATGCCCAACACGGTTACGGGTATGGGTCCAAGTTTTGGATCCGCGAGTAGGGTCCGGGTCCAATATACCCGACCCAGCAGGTACCCAGACCCAAATTTTTAGTTTACCCAAAGGCCAAAGCCCCAACCCTAAAATCGTTTCAATACTTTTTGTCTTCCCTTGGTTCCCCAAACGGCCAAACCCCATAGCCATCCTCCGTCTCTGCAATTCTCCCTCTCTCAATTTCTTGGAGATATAGCTCTCTCCCTAGATCTTGAATGTCTCTCTCTCTCTCTCTCTCTCTCTCTCTCTCTCT